ATAGCCAACGCATACTCACAGGTTAATGTGCACACAGAACATATTGATGTCTGACATTGAGATTTGCAATATTGAAAAATGACACATCTTTTTCATTCTTAGAAGTTAACAGCCCAAGAAAGCTCAAATGGTTAAAATGAATTTCTAGACTTCTAAATAGTTATATAGAGCCAATGGTAGCATAGAATTCTGAACCAGATTTTCAGTCTTAAAATTAAACATAAAGAGCTTTACCTTATCTTATAAAACAGTCACACAAATATATATATGAATTTTAAAATCCATAGGAAAAAAAAAAGCAGCATTAACAATGATAATAGTAAGCTCAAAACCTTCATATATTTCTTTTTATTGCCAATGTATTCTACTAACATTATTCCTCGATCCACTGTAGTAACTATGCAGTTATTCTAAGCTATCAAAGGTTGGTGTGCCATTAATTAATATACATGCTTGATTAATGAGTTAGTGAGTACAAATTATATATTACACGATACAAGAATAACAATAATTATACCTTCAAAAAAAGCCCTCGAGTTTTTTATTTCACCCTTATCCAGAAGCATACTGTCAAAGCCTGATTCGCCTTAATGTAGCATAGTTCATGGAAGAAGTGTGGCATATTGGGGGCGCATAATTCTACTTTTCAGTTAACAATGAGACAAAATATGTCTAAAAATTTAAAAGTGAAATCCTCATTTGTCTATAATTTCCATTACTTTCTATTGTCTCCTATTTACACTCCAGCTGAGTTTTACTAGTCTACAGCAATTCAGAGAAACAAACATCTTCCAAATCACTCATGAATTTCCAAAATTGAGCAACATCTAAGTAGAACACAATAATGACTAAACACATAAAGCTCAATGCCGAAATCTTAAAAATTAAGGGGGAATAGGCAAATATTATAGCATTTTGCAAAATATTAGATAATACCTCATCGATTTTTTCTAAGTCGTCAATTTGCTCAGGCTGCTCTGCTTTGGCCACGGCGGTGATCAACCGTTGGTGTTTGAGTTTGACCAAATTACCCCGCGGAATTCTAAAAACCCCTCGAGGGCCATTACTATCAAATATTAACCCAAATCTCATACCGCGGTAATCGGGTCGGTTCAAATTGAGAGTTCTAGAAGTGAAGGGCCGTTGGTGACGGTGAGAGTTACAAGAACATGTAGAGGTGAGAGAGAGCGGGATTAGATTGATTCTACCTAATTCTACTAGTATTTGAGGAGCCATTGACGGATTTTTATGAGATAATAAGAGGGAACTAAACGGAATTAAGAAGCATGGCTGAGATTAGATTGAGCGTCGAGCGGGTGGAGTGAGGTCAGTAGCTGCCACTTAGAGAGAGAAAATGCGGTGGTTTGCAGTGAGCGAGCTGTACCTCGGGACTTTAAACACGAAACGGTTGAGAGAGGATGATAAGGCCACATGACAGTATATTAATGGTGACACAAACAATGCTGAGCTTATTTACAAGGAAAAATCAGAATCAAATTACTTCGGGAAAAACGTCTTTATTTAACCAAAAATAATATTTAGCCCTCGTTCGATGCACATTTTGAAGGTAAGAACGCATTTTTACTGTTGATATGATGAGGAATATGTGATTGAAAAAGAATGAAAAATTATTGATGTGATAAAAAATATTATTTTATTGAAAAATGTGTGGTTGAAAATGAGAATAAAAAAAATAATGTGGACAAAAATTAAGCTATGAGAGGAGGGTTTTATAAATTAACATTGACTTGCAAATTCATGGTCAGTAGACAATATTACCGTCATATATAGGGTTTATTAAATATTACTTGTTTCCAAGAAAAGAGAGAAAAAAATCATGATAGTCCGTTATGAAAGTTTTAAATTATTTAGATCCCGTGAACAAAATTACACAATTAAAAATAACAAGTCACATTTTAATTGCTTTTAGATGGTTAGATTAAACGAATCAATTTATCATTAGTTTGAATATCAAAATCAATAATTAAAGGTAATAAAGAACACCAAAGATGATTACGGACCACAACTGGATAAAAATTTCGAGTACTTTATCGTCAGTAATCCACTATAAATTGAAACAAATTTACAATATGGTTCAGACTCATCTACTCTGTAAAACTTTTGATCTTGATTCCTGTAGTCTTCCTTGATCCTAATTTATACCTTAACCTTTTTGGATTGTGTGCTCCTGACATCAGATCCTGACTCTTGGTACCTCACCCTAGTTTTTCTGAATTTGTGTTTTTGCAACAGCTCCCGATCCCTAGTATCGATTTATCTACGATGGACTAGGTAGTTTGGTGTTTGATCAAAAGATCGTTTGCTTTTTGATCTGTGGTTTAATATGAAACAATATGACTTGATCAACAAAATATGTTTTGAAAAAAATTATGGATCAAGTAATATGTGGTGGTTAAATTTTGGAATCAATAAATGTTTTGGATCATCAAGGAATTGATCTCTATGGAATAAATATAATTCAACATACTTTTGAATGTCTCATAGGGTGTATACTTATAGTGGGTAGTGTTTGGGATGAAAAGGAACTCAAAATCATCTTGAAAATCGAACGTTACTGTTTTTTGAATAACCAAGTAGCTCGAGCGATACGTCGCGATAGACGAGCTACAGTTGAGTAGTCGTTAATATTTTTATCATAACATTCTCTTCCAATACAATTCTTCTAGAAATAGCATTGTCCAAATTTCAATGTTTTTTATATGAAAAATGTGTTTCAAGTTGTGACTGAGAATTTGGAACATGTACGGATCTGACACTCTTTAGACTTCTAATTGTATTATCTTGATCATATGTGATCTTTTTGGACATTTTGAACTCCTTCATGGACTATATTACCAACCACAACTCTTTTGACTTTAATTAGGACTCAATAACTCATATTTTAACTTTGATTACAACTCGATAATCTCGTAATACAAATCAACAAGGACTTGATTTTGACTAAAGAAACTGCCAATTACAAATTTAAAAATTGCCAATTATAATTTGTATTTAACACATTAGATCTATTGGAGGTAGATTCATTTTATCGACTTTGAATATCAACACAATGGATACATCCGATCATCCATGTTCATACGATTTTTTTGGCTCCCAAACTAATTTTGAATATGTTACTTCTCCTCTCATTTCAATAGACGTTGTCCTTGTTCTACCCATTTTCATTCATCTCCACCACACAAGACAACAAATCTGAATCATTTCCTTTACAATATATAAAAGAGGAGAGTTGATGTCACTGTTCATATCATGTCACGTCGTCGTCATGCTGATGTCGAGAGTTGATGTCACTGTTCATATCGGGTCACGTCGTCGTCATGCTGATGTCATCGTCCATTAAACATTTTTAAATCAATTTTTAGTCCTCCAAACTCTCCCACAGTCGCTCATGACCAGTTTCACACGCAACGTCCATTTCTCTTCTGATGTTTTGGTTTCCAAGTTCCAACGCAGCGTCCATTCTTCTACACTCTTCCATGGTTTCTTTCTGTTCCACGAATTCCTTATTTTTTGTTTCTGAAATTGAAAAATTGGCACTTAATTTATTTTTATTCGGTTTCAGATTTCTTGTAATTAGTAAATTTCCTTGTAATAGAACTCTAATCATGGAAAAGATGATGCATGTGATTAATCGATTCCCGTTCAACTACCGTTTATGAAATTAGGGTTTTCGAAGTTCTATTCCGATGTATAATTTCGAGTTTTTGAATCTGGGTTTCTTTCATTTTTAGATAGACCTCAATGTCAATCATTTTTAAGATTTGCATATATTTTGGGTTTGTGTATGGTGCACTTGTGGAAATGAGGAATTTGTTTTTTGGGTTTCATTTCTCTGTCATTGTTCTTAATCTGCGGTTATCATATATAGACTTTTTGGAAATTGTTTGTTGATAATAATTTAGTCTCGAGATTCCTGAAATTGGACTTGTATGTTTCTGAAAAGAGATTCCAGAAATTAGATTACAGTACTTTGGATGCTGATAAATTTGTGGGATTTGATTATGGTGCAGTTACAAAGATCGGCTCTCTTTGCGCGTCCCATTCACTTCTCCAATCCGGCTTTTTATTCTACTTTTGTATTTATATGGAGGTTATGCTATGGAACGACAAGCACGAAAGAGAGATGTATGAGAATTTTGCAGATCTATTTGCCATTATAAAGGCAACAGAGAAGCTGGAGAAGGCTTATGTGCGCGATATTATTTCAGCTGCAGAATATGAAACTAACATTTGATTGCTCATTTCAAAACCATGTCGTCCACATTGAAAGATATAGTCCCAAGCATTGAGCAGTTCCATGATACGTACAAGATGGATTGCCCGGCTGTCCTCAACTGGCTTGTGACATCAGGAGTTCTGGCCACTGTTGAACACCGTGCAACTGCTGCTCTGTCCACCACTATCTCTGCTGCAATTGTGTCCGGGTGTGTGCAAAATATTATTACGGCTATGGATTCGTTTTATAGATGAATTTATGTTGTTACTTGTTAGCGAAGCTTGAAAGATTCTTCTTACCTCTGCACTCTCTCTGGGATTTTTATTTTCATTTGAATTTTTTCTTAGTTAGATTGACACTACTTTTAGGGTGTTTTATTGAATTCTTTGTTGTCTTATTTTGATGAGAATCTGCAGCAGGAGATAAAACTTTTTGCAGAAGATGATGTACGTTCTAGGGGTTCTCATTTATCAACTTTGGGTAAATATATATTCATCAACAATCTCAGCTTTACATCCTCCATCTGTATTTCCCTCCTATTTTTCCTTAGCCGTGTGAGTTTTATGATGGATGTTAATAATTTGATGGAAGATTTGAAGATCTTTCGTGCACTTCAAGATTTTCTTTTGAGGTCTTTTTGGTGATTCCAAAAGCCTTTGTTAGGTTTCTTACCCTTATTTCTAGATTGTTCTCGTCATTCAATTTTAAATTAATTAATTGTTTTCCTATCTGAGTGACATGAACATGATCTAATTCACAATTCAGTGTTAGGATAATCCATAATTATGCTTACATTGCAACAGTATGAAGTTAATTAATAAGACTTCCTTGTAAAGTAGACCTAATATGGTGCTCTCTATTCCATTTAATTTTAGTAGATTACAACTTTCTCATCTACCTCATTTTGCTTATTCTTCTTTGCTTTTCTTCTCAATTATAATTGGTACAGTCTTAAGATGTCATATCTATCTTTATCTTCTTCCTTCAAAAATTTATATACTTCAAATAATACACTGTGTTTTATGTTTCTATAGGTATTGTAAGTGTGGGATGTCTCATAATCCAGATGATGTCGTGGTGCAGTGTGAAGGGTGCAAGGGCTGGTATGTACACATAATTTATATGCTACAAATGCATTACGTATTTTTTGTTATTGAATAAAATGATGGGTTGTGGCCTATTTCGATCCACTAATTTAAAACTGAGTACAAATTGGTACCAAGGTGAAATTTCTTCTATAATGATAATGATGTATCTTTAGTAAGGTCTTTCCCATTTATTGTCTTGAAGTTGGATCTGTAATTGAAAGTGTTAATTAAATTTAGTAAAATGATGTCATGAATATGTTTGGAAGAAGGGTCATTTAATTTATGAACTCCTTTTCTTTTCTTCTCTTCTCTTTTCATTTTATTTATTTATTCTAATACTTAATCTTGTGCATGTGTTTGATGCATGAAATCAGTTTTAGAAAACTAAAATGATACATTGACCATGAAATGTGTAGAGAAATATATGTACCTTAAAACATGCTTATTGTGTTTAATACTATAACCACATATATAAATTTGAACATGACGTACAATTAGGAACCATAGAGAACAATTTTCTACATGGCTGAATATTAGATAAACATAAATTTAATATTAATTCATCAAAGATGTCCCAATTTTTGAAATGACTTTATTCCAGACTTTAGGATGGCTTATGATTTGGTGTCACTCAATGTACTTTGGGAAGATATTCTTATGTAATAAATTTTACCAAATGTTGGCAAGTTACCCCCTTTTTCCTGTTTTCGATAGTCAAGTTAAATTTTACCATTAAACGTAATTTGATACTTGTAGATGTATTCTCCTTTTTATTATCCCCTTCTATTGGAAAGTTACAGTCTCCTTCATCATTCATCAGATGATTGATCCTTCATGATTTTCTATTATTTTAATAAGTTGTAATCTTTGTGCATTAGTTTTCATTTGCTTCTTAAACAATCTCTTTGTTGCATTTCAGTGGATATCCATTGCTACGAGATCCACACTACAACAAAGGACTTGCCTTTACTGAGAAAGAGAGAGAGAGAGAGATGCCCACTTCCTCTATTGTCTACTTCTCCCAGATGTTGTTAGTCAAGAAATTCAGGTTAACATAAATTTTGTGTATTGGAACCTCCAATCTTTTTTTTTTCTCGTGTAAATTATAATTCTGAATGTACCATTTCATTGAATAGGTTAAGAAAATGATGTACAATATGCCTGAATACCAAGTACCACTGCAAAGGTACATGACTATGATGGATCTTCAGGTTGTTACAAATTTTTATGTTCACGAATGTTTGAGTTGGGACGTTTTACCTCTGGAACCTCCAAATGTATTTTCAAATCTGATGTTGTATTTTAAAAAAAAATCATTATTTTCTGAATTTTTGTGGATTTGGTGAAAAGAAAGGAACTTTTTTGGATCAGGTTATGAAATAGGTTCTTAGTCTTGTGTGTTTAATAGCGTTTTTTGAGGGTTTAAACGATTCTTTGAATCTAGCAAACTTTCTTATGGTTCTGAATTTTGATCCGATTGTGAAATTGTAATCAACATATTTAGGGACCCTAAATAATTCATTCATAATTTGTCAAGTTCAAGCTAAAGATATATTTTAATGCTTCTGTATGTTATTATAAATGAGGAATTTCCAGAAGAAAACATTATTTTCTTGGTAAATAAATTTTCATCAGAAATAACTTTTGGCTTCTTGATGTTTGAATTCATGTATTAGTATTATTTTGGTGATGTCAAGATTAACGTTGCACTTGCATCTCATGATAAGCATTGAAATATTGCACTTGTAATTGAAATTATAGGTGGCTTATTCTGTAATGAAGTTCTTATTCTTCTTAAAGAGCTGAAGTTGTTTAAGATTGTCATACTTCTCTTTTTTCAACTTTCTGTTTGCTTTCATGGAGTAGGGGAATTGTTTTCAAATATACATATGTATATATCTATGCTATTGCTATCATACATCTTTCAAATATGCTACATATAATTCTGATTGCTACTGTATTTTCAAAATTTATATGGACATGAAACACCGTTTCCTTCTGCTCTTTACATTGTTAATCATCTGAAATTCTATATGAGAATATATTATTTACAAAGGAAGTCTTATAAATTTTAAGCTAAAGGTGGTTTGAGTTCTGTTATTAAATATAATTGGATGCATCCATGATACCATTTGCTACCTTTGTGTTATATTTTAAAATGTTTTGTTTTTCTAAGATTCCTTCTTTGTTATATGTTTATGTTTTACTTTCAAGTTCATTGAAAAGTTTGGCACGCATATTATTGTTGGTATAAAGATGGGTGGGAAGGATGTCATATTTATGAAACAACAGCACTCTTCTTCACTTTGACCAGTGGATGTGCAGCAAATATTGATAATGATAGCTGATAAAAGGTTCTATAAGCAAATGAACAATAAGGAATGGATACAGAGCAAGTATTAACAGACAGAAGGTTTAGAATTATTTTATATGTATTCAATTTATGCCAAGGTACAACTTTGAAAACTTTGAAGTCTGTTACTTTATTGGAATAACTTTTGTTACATAACAATTTCAGTGTTTCAAATAGAAAAAAAAAAGAAGTCAGGACAACAGAAACTATTTGTTATAGTCATATTTTTATCGTACTTCTTTTATTTCTTTAGGGGACTTTAAGGATAAGCTTTAGTTGGAAAATAAATTCTTTATTAGATTCATAGGCTTCTTGTTTCTATCTGTCTGAAAAGATGTAATTCATCAATAAAAAGGGATCAATTTTTGTACATCAAGTAGAGATTTAAATGGTGTAATTTAAAAGATGTCTAAATGTTCATTACTTGAAACAATTCAATAATATATTTGCCATTGTTCATTTTAGAATTACAAAAATTATAACGGTTATCGTGCAACGCACGATTCACACTAGTCTATAATAAAAAGCAGCAAACATTGGTTTCCGCGTGCAAGTTCTAAATTGAGAAGTCACATTGGCAACAAAATTAGGGAAAATTCGACATTTACGAACAAATTTATAGTTTGCAATCATTAACTCAAGATTTTGGTCAGCAAGTTCGATGTATGCCAAGTGACTAGATTTTCCCCAAATCTCAATATTTTCTCGATATAACTTAACCCAAAATTCTCAATAGTTATCCTGCAAACACAAGATTTGGCCTGCCTACTTGATGTTTTGCCACCACACTCGATATTTATCAATTAACATTCAAAATTCGATATTTTCGATTCTACGTTTTATCATTTCAATTTCAACTTATTCAATTCAAGTTCTCAACTCTGTTAGAATCGATCTTTCCGTTCCTACAACAATCTCGATGTTTTAGATAATCTAACAATTTTTAATGAAGATTTTTAATCAAGACTATCCATTCTTCGATGATGTGAAAGCAATTCAACAACATATTCAAACTTGGGAAAAACATGTTCGATACAAAATTGGATGAAACCCACAATGAAACTAAACAATTTTTAACCAAGTAGTAGAAATCACATTACCTTTTAGTACAAGTGAACCAAGAGTTAAACTTGAAAGTTGGAAATTTCGTCAAGTGGGTCAAGTTCAAAAATCTCGTGATTAATAATCTTCCATACACTAAAATCCTTTTGATTAGTGAACCTCATCTGCGCAATTTTTGATAATGGAGGGAGTGTCTCTGTAATAATCAAACTCACTTGATGTCTCTAACATTAACCGTGAACGATAATTGATACCAGACAAGATAAATTTCTCTAGGTGCGATCAAACATTATAAATTATCATTTTATAAAATATTACAATATTTAGGTTACTAGCAACATGTATCGGGTAACTCTACCGTGTGACCAAAGGGGAAATACACGTTCGATACAAAATTTTGAACGTTAGGTGGTGTAAACTTATGTTGTACCGATGATTTCAGTCCTCAGACACCTGCATTCTTGGTTGTGTTCCTATTCAAGAACTCGTAACACTTAGGTCTTATGTGTCCTACCTTACTATAATGGTGACACGTTGGGATGAACCTAGTAGCAACTCTAAGTTTCAAGTTTTGAACTTTATGCTTTGAGGTAAGTACAAACTTATTGTTAGAAGATGAAGTACTATGAGAATTTGTTTCATTAAAACCTACACTCTTCTATCCCAATTGTTTTATTCAAACATATTATGCTATCAATTTTTCTAGATCTTCTAGAAAAATATTGAAGTTTGACATTTGATTTTTCAAGATCACTTATAAGAGATTTAACTTTAATTTCTAAGAACACTTTCTCAACCCTTAATTCATTCAATCCTTTGGTAGACTCTTCAAGTTTAATTATAACTCTCTTTTTCTAATTCAAACTTATTCAGTTTCTTAAAAACTGATCTATTAACCTAATATAACTTGAGAGTTATACAGCTAGTCATAAGCCTCATAAATATCCATATCATCCTCAAATCCGACATCAGAATGTGATTGACCAATCTAGACAATTATTGAGTCAATGATCGCAATTAAGCTCCGACACCACTTGAAAGTCTTAAATTATTTAGACCTATGCGTGAAATTACACAATTAAAAGCAACAAATCACTTTTAATTGTTTCTAGATAGTTAGATCAAATAAATCAATTTATCATAAATTTGAATACTACAATCAATAATTAAAGTAATAAATAACATTAAAGATGATCACGGAGAAACCCGAACTAGATAAAAACTTCGGACGCTTTTTCAGTCAGTAATCCACTATAAGTCGAAGCAAACTTACAGTACGGTCCAGACCCGTCTATCCTCGTAAAACTTTTGATCTCAATTCCTACAATCTCTCTTGATCATACTGGAGGCGTGGTCTTTTAAAATAAATGCCGACTCCTAATACATTAACCCTCCTGGGCTGCGTGCTCCTAAAGCCAGATCCCGACTCCTGGTATCTTACCTTAGTCCTCCTGAATTTGTACTTCTACAAGAGCTCTTCGATCCTTGGTATCAATTTATCTCCAGTGGATTATGTGGTTTGGTGTTTGATCAAAAGATCTTGTGTAATTTGATATGTGGTTTAATATGAAACAATATGGCTTGATTAACAAAATATGTTTTAGAAGAACTTATGAATCAAATTATATGTGGTGGTTGAATTTTGGAATTACTAAATGTTTGGATCATTAAGGAATTAATCTCTATGGAATTAATTTGATTCAACACACTTTTGAGCGTCTCATAGGGTATATACTTATTAGGGGTGTAAGCGGTCCGATTTTTGCGGTTTTTGACAAATTTTCAAACAAAACAGTTTTGACTGGTTTGAGAAAAATTCAAACCTAAACCAAACCGTTTTGACCGGTTTGAAAAAAACTCAAACCTAAACCTAACGGTTTGGTCC